TTAGTTTGGGTTTGTCCATGTCATTATGGACTTAAGTCTATTTATTTGCCACATATGCAAAAAGAGACCCAAAGCATTGTGGATGCTCTAATCTCCTTTGAGATGCTATTGCTGTTGTAATTGCAAAATTCGAGTTATTGTGATTGCTTATTTGCAGCAAAACATTTGGCCAATCATCGTGCTTGGTTGTAAAAGACGCGTCATTTTCTTTGCTTTGTTTGCTTGATCATATGAGGTTGCATGTGAGTTTTCTATTGTAATCGACTATAAATTCATCCTAATTTGATAAAAAATTGATCAAATTAAAGTTATATTATAGGAAGATGCTACGGTCCAGCTACAGAACCATTCCGTCGGGTTTGTAACCGTTATATTAACTATTCCTGAACATTACATGATGATTTATTGGTTACAAATTCCAACGGAATGATTTCGTAATAGGACCGTAATATTTCTCTATATTATAACACAAAGAAGAGAAAAGAAAAAGAAGGCATCACTATAAACTATCAGAATGCATTTTTAAAGGGTTAATTGTCAAAAAAGATCACGACTTTTCGTTGAATTGTAAAATAATCTCTAACTTTTTCAATTTTGCAAATAAATCTCAACCTTTATTAATTATTGTAATTTTGTCTCAAAATTGAATTCCGGCCATCCGTCGCCACCGGCCGCCGCCCGTCTCCGGCCAACCTCGCCAGAATTGAAATTTTTTTACGTCATCGTGTAGCTCTCCTTCCGGGCAACAACATATCCGAAGTTCGTGTAAAAATTACGACAATAAGGGGTCCAATTTCTCAGTCAATATATGATCGGAAAACTCGTCGCCGGAAAAAGTCACTGTTTCCGGCGATGGTGAATGTCAATAGAAGCGGCTCGGCGAGAGGAGTTCAACGGTACCTTTGAATTCGTGTGGGTCAAAACGAGTCGCCGAAAATTTGCGAAAGAACGGTGGATAAAATTGTATATCCACTTGCTTTTACCGAAAAATTGGACCCCTTATTGTCGTAATTTTTACACGAACTTCGGATATGTTGTTGCCCAGAAGGAGAGCCACACGATGACGTAAAAAATTTTCAATTCCGGCGAGGTTGGCCAGAGACATGCAGCGGCCGGTGGCGGCAGATGGCCGGAATTCAATTTTGAGACAAAATTGTAATAATTAATAATGGTTGAGATTTATTTGCAAAATTTAAAAAGTTGAGATTAATTTGCAAGTTAACGAAAAGTTGTGATTTTTTTTGGCAATAAACGCTTTTTTAAACAAAATGAGTCACTTATGAGCTTGGCTAGCTTCTAAGGTTCATTAAGGCTTTATTTTTTGTATTTTAAATAGTTAAGCTCGTTAATATTGAATTCGGACTCATTTCTGAGTTATTAAGGAAGGCAAGCGGAATTCAAGCTCATTTATTTGTTTAGGATTCACTAAGGCACGAACTCGACTCGTCTATTTTTTATCAATCTCTTTCTTAATTTCACATAAGGTGCATCCCATAATAAAATTACACGAATCGTCAATTCACACAACGTCATATCGTTTAAGACATACAAACACAGATGACGTCTGCAAGAGCTAATGCTCCTCGTACCGTGAGATTCGTCGCGCGACGTCGTCATCGAGGAGGAACTCGTTGGTCTTGGTGCGAAAGCTGATATGGCACGACAACAATGGTGATGAGGCTGGCCGGGGAGGTGTAAGGTGAGGCTGGCCATCAACTCGGAGCACCTGATATCATGTAAGGGTGTCAAATTATGACATCATGTCATTTGAGTTACATTATTGTATTTTTTATTATATATTTTATTTATTATATGAATTTGTGATAACATTGATAAGTCTAAAGTTAATTAATTGGTCAAGAAGGTATTAAATGAAAACAGACATGGCCACGGGCGGCCCGGCCCGTGGCCCGACCCGTGACCCGGTACCGGCCCGGCCCGGTACCGATACCGGCATGAACAGTGCCGGGTTCGAGAACCGGACCGCGGCCAATCCGGTCCGGTTAAGGGTCACGGGTT